GCAGTTTGGGGAATATTAAATTTTAGAAATTTCTAGAACAATTAAGCGAATTCTAAACTGACCGTGAGTAATTGTTTAAAAAAACAAGAGTACACTGCGGGTGAATATTAAAAAGATCCATAAAACATCTTGAAAAAAAGTTTTGCTGTTTTAAAAAGTACGCAAATGTTCTATTGAAGTGTTAGAAAGATAATGGATGATGAACTCTTGTTATGCTCAATATAAATCATTGCTTATCTCTAGAATCTTATTTTATCCCGAACAGATGCAAAAGAAACGAATCATTCTTCAAAAACAAGAGTACATTAGGGGATAATTGAACAAAAGGGAAAAGTCGAGAATCGTAAAAAAAAGGTTTTGCTGTATCAAAAAGAACATTAATGAAACTTTAAGGGACAGTTCAATTAGTCAATTCTTCTTTGTTGTTTATTAGGCAAATTGATTTCCTTATTGATACCATCAGACACTAACTTTAAGTTTTGTGATCTATTTGGAAAAAAATAAATTTACAATTTTTTTTCTCGGTATTCTAATTATTATAATTTTTCGAGCCCCATTCTTTGTTCTTCTGGGAAGCAAGAACTAAAAAAGTTCCAAGAAATGGTAAACAGAATAGAGAAAGTATTTTTTGAAAATATATTCTTCGAATAATTTTTTTAATTCTGTTCTTGAGGTTCAAGTATTCTCTTGAATTAGGTATTCAGACCAATTTTCCGAATAACCAAATCAGAAATATCTATTATGTAAATAGATTAAAATAAACTTGGCTAACGACAGGTGATCTCTCTCCAAAGAACACTAAATATCAAACATTTCGTTTTGATCTCTGAAATTTTGGTTGGCTTAAAACTTTTAGAATCCATAAAAAGCTGAAAAAACAAGGAAGAATCCGGAATTTTTCAGGATAAGAAGCCTTATAAAAGTGTCGAAAATCTCTTCTAGAGAAAAAGAAATAACAAAAGTACGAAAAGAAAATAGCGAGAATGGGAAAAACGGGACTGAAGATGAGAAAAAAATATTATTTTGGAAAAATTAATGTTTCAAAATTCTTGTGAACTTCTGAAGGAATTTCGATTCCATTCTGAATATCCTTTTCACTCAAAAAAGTATTGAACCATTCCTTCAGAAATTTCTAATGTTAGCGGGAACTTAAAGTGTTCTAAAATATAATTGGAAAAGTTGCAAACGGCTTTCCCATAGTTTTGCAATTCTTTGAAAATTACTGTTTTAAAACCGCAATAATACAATGCCGATGTTAACTGAAAATGTCGTATAGAATTCATATCGCTCCAAGTTATCAAGTTTTACAATAAAATTCTAAAAATTGCCTCCAAATATCAAACAATCTAAAAACATCATGGAATGACAGAATATCGACAAAAAGTATGGAATTATCGCCTAACATTGAAGAAATCTAGTGTGTCCTAAAAAAAATAAATGCTCGTCAAGTAGCGCGCATTGGTCGCAATCGCACGACTTTCCGTCAGAATGCATGATCTCGCCCCAATAAAACCCCGTAGACTTTCGTGTCTGGCCTCCTTTAAAGGTGGGGCCGGGGGAATTTTTTATTGCATCAAAATGTGCAGAAATGTATGTAGATTGACATAAAAATAAAGAAAAAATTCAAAAAAAATTTTTTTCATCGAGAAAAACGCATCGAAAAATACGCTGAAAGCCCTTAGGGACGAGGTTTTTTCTAGGCCGCCCGGTGAGTAAAAGCGCGCGAATTCAAACTTTTAAATTTTTTTCGCTCGTTTTCACTGTTTTTTCAAATTTTCCGATGTATCTGGAAGAAAAATTGACAAAAACCTAGAAAACTCTTGAAAAAACCGAAAAAAAGTGAAAACGAGCGAAAAATTTCTTTATTTTTATGTCAATCTACATGCATTTCTGCACATTTTGATGCAATAAAAAATTTCACCGTACACCACCTTTAACTCAACATACCAATTTGTGAATGAAGTTCTTCGAAAAATTAGGACAGTAATTAACTGATGACATAAAAGATACAATAACAAAAAGTGGGCGGAGTCAGATGATCTCTGTCCAGTAAAAAGGTTGTGGGGGGACACTTGATTAATTAATTAGTGTCAAAAATTATCTTCAAAGTAAAAAACATTTTGAAAAGTTTGAATAAAACTCAATCAATTTTTTTTCGAAAATTAGTGTTTCAAAATTATTGTAAAATTTGATGAACTGGAGAAGTTTTAGTTCGATTTCGGCGGACATGAGTTTCAGTAAAAAAACGTCAGGTTTTGGGTTCTGGAAATCAGGCTTGTTCGGAAAAACAAATTCGGAAAATCGTGTTCTCGAATTTTTTCTCGACTTTTTTTTCGGAAAATCGAGTTCTCGAATTTTTTCTCGACTTTTTTTTCCGGAAAATCGAGTTCACGAATTTTTTCTCGACTTTTTTTTCGGAAAATCGAGTTCTCGAATTTTTTCTCGACTTTTTTTTCCGGAAAATCGAGTTCACGAATTTTTTCTCGACTTTTTTTTCGGAAAATCGAGTTCTCGAATTTTCTCGAATTTTAATTAGTCAAAAATTACCAGTTTATTTTAGTTGCAAATATAGTATTGTAGTTATTTTAGTTACAAATATAGTTTAGTTGCAAATATTATACTTTTTCCTTCCATCCGCCAGATTTGTCAATACCGCTGAGTATTTTCCCATGTTTAGTCTGAAAATTTCGTTAAATTCAGACAAAGTTACTCACTGCAAAACCAACAATTTTAAGAAAAACTTTTGATGACCTAAAGTCTGAAAAAAACCAAGTGTTTTCAGTGAGAGAAGGTAAAAAATCACTGAAAAATAAAAGAAGTCTATTAAGAACAGTATAAACCGAAAAACATGTTGAAAAAGTAATGAAAACCCTGATTAAAGTATGTTTTCATTCAAAAAAAATTAATTTTTAAAAAATTCACCTTCAATCGACCCCGTAAATCGACACCGATTGCGGGTCTCGCCGCGCTTGGGTTACTGTTGCACCCGTTTCAACTATACAAAGTAGAGATTTCCTCTTCACTTTGAACGCAGCATGATTATTTCGAGAAAAAATTTTCCGAATATTTTTCGGAAAATTTTCCGAAAAAAAATTCGGAAAATTTTCCGACGGAAAAATTTTCCGAAAAAAATCGGAAAATCGGAAAAATCGAGAACTCTATTTT